CTGGCGGGCGCCGCTGGCCGCCGGCGCCGCGGTGTGCCCCTGGGGCCTCCTCGGGCCGGACGACCCCAGGCATGCTCGCGTCATGGCAAAAATCACAGCGGGAGGCTGGGCCGTTTTCGAGCTCGGGGGGTCCCTGCCGGGCCCCGGTACCGTCCAGGAAGGACTCGGGACGGAGATCTGGCACTGAGGATATAGGGTTGGGTTGGGAGTTATGGGGGCCCCGCCTCGGAAAAATCATGACATCGCACGTTTGGGTTCGGGAAGGAAAAGGGGGGGGGTACTGGGATCGCCGCAACTGTTGCTAGGGCAATAGGGGCAGTACATGTGGGTGCTGCGGTGGCTTATATCTGGCGTGGACTAACGTATAAAGTGGGTTGCTGGTGCCCTAAGTGGCTTAAGATCTGGACTGACTGGGCTGCGCTAGCTCACCTATGCAATTCTGGGCTCTTGTACCGACTTACAATGCATTTTACGCCAGATTCGCCACCGCGCTATGTGCACGGCGAGGCGCGGGAGAACGCCAAGGTCATAGGTTGGCCGTTTTCTTAAAAGCCCCCCCCCTCTCGCGGCATAAGGGCGCGCGCGCCGCCCCCGTTTTCCCGAAGCCATCATCGATCGCAGACTACAACGGATTAGCGCCCCAGAAGCTCAGATGCCCCAGAGACAGCCTGAGATCGCTCCAAGACGGGCGTCTCTGGCCTCAAGACGGCCCAAGATGGCTTCACTAGCAACAAATGCGGTAGACATTGTGAGATTCAATACTGGCGGGTAAGAGACAAACGAGAGAGGCTTCTTACAGGACTAGGACTCTTTGCGGATGCGGTAGCGGATCGATAGCGGCGCTTTCAACCGGGCATATAGAGCGCCAGCCGCTTGAACAACAAACGGCGGCGCGGACGCTCGCAATGCTCGCCCGCGCGTTACCCCGCCCCCTGGCCCACGCTCAGAGTCGAGGGGGGGGAAGACGAGCGGTGGCGTGCGCCACGCTACATGTTGCGAAACAGTGCCGCAGTGCGCACATAGCCGAAGGAGATAATCTCGACTCCGAACTGCTTCGAAGCTATGGGGCCGACGCGCGACATCAATAGCGACCGCGGCAAGCCTCGCCCGACTCGACCAAGCGCCAGAGTCGAGTCTGCGAAGAAATAACACGCAGAATGGAATTGGCGCGAGCCCACGCACGCAACGCAAAAATCAGCGCAGCCCCACGCGGCCAGATACAGGCGCAGAGGACAGAAGACAGAAGCAGCGACGGCAGAAGAAAGTTCATTCACTTCTGCGTGTCCCCACGCAGGGAATACACGTTCGGCCGGCTCATCGAGAGCCAGGCTCAGCCCATGGTGTCCCTGTAGGGCGCGAAAGTCATCAGCACACACTTGAAGGGTTGCGTGCCCGCCATTATTTGTAACAGTAAGTCGCGGCCTAGACTGCCTGTGCCATGTCCTTCGGCGGCCAGATCCCGCGCGTCACACTTGTCTGCAGCGTATGATACCCCAATCCATCATCTGACTGATCCAGCTAATGCGACCCAAAAGTGCGCACCCCGTGGGCCTCTCAAGATCCTTACTGGATAGGGACTTCGGACTCAGCGTCAGACGCAAGACCAACACCACCAATTGCCAAAGCATTCTTAATTCGTGCGGGCGTTAGCGGCCCCGCCGTGAGTTCGCGCCGGGTGGTAGCAATGGTTGGATAGCAGTCCTCTAGGTTGCAGGCTGCTGCGTCCATGCAGTAGGTTTAACCTAATCATCGCGCATGTTTCTACGCCTGAGAAGGTCGGCACCTCTGACGCCATAACCAGCGGCATCGTCTTCAGCGTCTGCGGTCAACCGACGGCAGCCCGAGTCGCTGTGGAGGTCGAGTTCTCTGGCGGGCTTCATGGAAGGATATGCGATTTTTTTATCATGCCTAGAACTATTCGCGCGGGCGCGCTCAGCCGCCGCACCCGCGCGCCCGTCGCACCCCGCGCCCGCCATAGCGGGACATTGAAGACCATCCGCCAGACTGACGCACGCGAGTGCTCCGCGGGGGCAAACAAACATGTCTGCGACGGTTTTGGAAACATCGCCCTCAGCCCCCGGTGTTCTCAAGTGAGTTCGTTCCGGGTGCTGGACGGGGCGGCGTTGTTTAACGTGCCCGTCTTGTTCCAGAACAACGTCGCCCCTTATCGTTGTTCGTGCATATGGCGGCACAAGTGGCGCAAGCATGGTCATTCAGCCTGCGCGTGCCTAACGCGTGCTCTACGCATTTCGCGGGGCGACCGATCGTCTCTTCTTGACCAGACATGTTTTTATCATATATATATATATACACAAGCGTTTCGCCGTCAGTAGCGCCCCCGCTGATTCGAGCCCTGCGCCCCAAGAAATTGCTCGATGTCAGGAGCCGCGCGTGATGTTGCGCAACTTCAAATAGGAGGCGCGCGGGGTGGCCTTCGCCCATGCGCCTGGCATAAGTCACTGAAGACAATTCTTGCTCTCGTCGCACTTCTCGAAACCCGACCAGGCCCGAAATACAGGGGCAGAACCTGGTGGCAGGGCGAAGCATACAGCGCGTTCCCGCTCCCCAGTAGCTTCGGCAAGCTCGCGATACGCGGGGCCCTGCTGTAAAGCCTTGTCTATATCCATCAACACGACAACCCAATCCAGATGGCAAGCTTTCTCAATGGCCAGCAGACGTCGGCTCGCTCTTCGCGCCGTTCCTTAAAAAGGTTCCGACGTCTGAAGCCTCCAGGCACATGGCCCCCGGAGAAACAATCGAAGGCGAAGCGTCTTGACCATGCCCCCTTCTTCGTTCCTGGCGAGTTTCCATGTGCAAGCGCATTGGGAGGCGATGGCGTTTGGTGTTTCAGTAAGGCAAGCCATCATAGCATTTGCTGTCGAACCCAATCATTAGTTCCGCATGCAGTGCATTGCCTACCTGCACTGGATTAGCTTGGGTAACAACATTAGTTTGCAGACCATCTTCTTTCGCCACGACCGCACGTTTCAAGAGGCAGCAAAGATAGTGGCGATGCGATCGTCGCGCAATAAAGTTTGCACTTGCTCGATCAGCACAGCCTGGGCCGTGTCAGCCGAGGAGCAAAGTTCTGAATGCTGGCCATTGTTGTCACTGACGATCGCATTGGCATCATCATAGTGCGGACAAATGAGGACAAAGTACAAATTCTCATTGTGGCAATGCGCGTATCCGCTATGTTGCGTGAACGGGACGTCGCTAGAGACGGTGCTCATGGGTGAGAGCATGCTGGCAGTGGTCATTCGCCAAGCTCTTTTGCCTGGTCGGTAGGTACCCGAAGGTCATCGCCAGCCCCCCATGCAGGCAGGCTCGCGACGAACGCAGGCTTAGCGCGAAGAGCTGCGTTGTCAGAACTAAGTCCTCGAACCAGCAACACTTCGATGTACAAGGTGTGCCCAAGTCTCAATGCTGACGGGCTACTTCGCGATTGCCGACACGTGCGAAAGCTTGGCCCCGTTCGGGGCCATTGCGCGCGACTGGGCAAGGGCCATCCCAGACTCCCCAGTCGTCTTTCGTTGTAGTCGGTCGGTGGTAGCCTACCAGGTCGCCGTCGCGGTACAGCACTTGCCCTGGCGGCGTGTCTGACTGCGCAATGCTCTATTTGCTATGGCAACTGCAAGAGCTGGAACAATATAGCTTCCACGGTGATCTCGCGCATCCGCTGTTCCCGCAAGAGATCGGACGTCTGCGTCGCCCGATCCTGCAGATCTGGCAGGCAGGCCGGATGCCCGACATAAAATTCGGCACAGCGACACGCCGCGTAGAAGGTGAGGGCGCCTGCCACAAACATAGTTTCCCGCAGCATACGGGGGAAGCAAGTTTCGTGGTATGTCACGTCGTTCCAAGTCTTCCTCCAACGTGTGCATGATGTGTCTGAGGATCCCGATTCTTGACTCTGTGGTCGTAGCATGTTGGCCATGCGCTCGAATCCGTACTTTGGTGCCTTTATGTTTGAAGATGACCTTGGCCGCGTCGTTGTTATTAACGCCCTCACCATCCGGAAACATGACTTAGGCTGGGCCGTGCTGTAACCAGGTGCAGCGCTGCTCGTCAAGCACCGATTCATGGTTTTGCCCTGACATTCCAGGCCAGCCCAGAACCTGATGCAACTGTCAAACTAACGCAAGACAATGTGCACCTCATGAAAGAAAAGATCGCGCACTGCAGGGCGACCGACGGCAGCACTGCATTGCCTGGAATCGCAGGCGCCATTGGCGAGGTCGAGCCCGTCAGCGTCAAGGCCAAAGTGGAACAGCATCCGCCTCATCTTGGGCTCCTCAGCAAGATGCCAACGCGAGCGTAGCTTCCGGAGCACCTTCAAGACAGCAGCCGGCTCAAAACATCGGAGGTTCCGCAGACAGACCTGGACATGAAAACAGGTCCAGTCGGGCAACTTTGGCATGCGCTTCTCCGCGGCAGAGTCAGCCTCAGGGCTGGCGGTGGCGGTTCCCCGCGTTGTTCTATGCGCCTGCGTCGTCCACTGACTCGCATGTGGTAGTCGGATCTCCCTGCTGCTCCTCCGTCTGCGCGAATCCCGCGCGACCCGCGTGAACCCCGCGCGTCAGGCCGCGACATCTGGCGCCGCGGGCGACGTCGGCGCTAGGTCGCGGTCGAGGGCCGAAATACCCCCTATTCGCAAGTGCAGATTGCCTGCCTGATGGACGCGCCAGCACCGGCGGTGCCTCTGGCAGCGCTGGCGGGCCCGGCGTTCCCGCCGGTGGTTGAGGCGGGCTGGCAGGAAATCCGAACAGCACTGCAAACCTGCATTCCCAAGAGTTCGCAGGTGCCCTGCCTTGTTCGGCCTATGGCGGCCTATGGTTCCCCTTGAAACTTTCGCGCTCCCAGTACAAGGGGTCACCATCAAACCATCGGCAGGCTCGTGGATCCCGCGCGTGGCCCGACGAATCCCTCCGGACGCCGCCCACGCGCGCCGGGCTGCCAAGACCGCCCTGCGGCGATCGAACGACGGAGCCAGTCGGCGC